ATGAATCCTGGACATGCCTTCCATTCCATAACCATGGTGCACAATGGAAATTTTCAACCATTATTGAGAAATTAACGAACTTACCGATTCGGTATTCTCAACGTTTCGTTGTCTCTTAGCTTTGGGGTACTCTTCTGCCATTTTTCCTCTAGTAGAAGATGGTTGCTGAGAAAAATATAAACATGTATCAAGCGTAATGAACACCAACAGAATTTTCATCTCCAACCTCTATGTCGTTTCAATATACAATTCGTTCATCGATATCGGGAAATCAAAATGAAGTGCACTATTCAAGTTTAATAGTTATGTCAGTTTCATAAATAAAGCAAGAAAGAATCTAACATCAAACTCATTTAACAAAAAAAATTAATGACTTCAGATAAAAGGTCGACCGTTTTTTTATAAGAAACGGAGAAGTATAACATGCACAACGAGATAAGAGGTCGACTTGATCCACAATGAACAGAATACTTAAAGCAATTTGATGAATTTAGAACATAAAATGCATTGTTTCTAACCTCATAAGGACAAGCAAGTAGTTTTCCAAATAGATCGTTTGTCACATTAGCAGCACTTATAGAGTAAGTTGCACTTCGAAGTCCATGTGATGCAAGGTACTGCTCGGATTCTTTAGATAAGTGATACCCTTTGTAGATCGTTGCATTAGGATCAAATATCTAGTAAGATGGAGAATAAGTAACACTAACATCAACCCCATATTCGAAAGCAAGTGAACGAGTTCAAGATTATTTTACTTTTTCTCTTTACGTTAAAACGAGAAGCAAGTTCGTATTTGTCGCCAATTTGGCCACTATATACCACATGATGCTGGAAGAGAAATGAAGTTGGAAGCATGGCAAACAATCCACAGACAAAAGGGAGCCTAGATTCAATACTCAACTCATGTTTTGGTGCCATAATAAATTTGAGAAGTTTATCCTTAGGCCCTAGAATGGCTGATCCAATACAACTAAGAATGTAACAGTAAAATCCCACCGCTAGCAGATATTGTCTGTTTTGGCCCGTTACGTATTGCCGTCATCCACACAGTTTTAAAACACATCTGCTAGGAAGAGGTTTCCACACACTTATAAATAATGTTTTGTTCTCCTCCCCAACCGACGTGGGATCTCACAATCCACCCCCTTTGGTTCCCAACATCCTCATTGGCATTCATTCCCTTCTCCAATCGATGTGAGACTCCTTAATCCACCCCTTCGAGGCCCAACATCTTTGTTGGCACACCGCCTTGTATTCACCCTGTCTGGCTCTGATACCATTTGTAACCGCCCAAACTCACCGCCAGTAGATATTGTCCTCTTTGGGCTTCCTCTTTCGGGTTTCCCCTCAAAGTTATAAAACGCGTCTATTAGGGAGAGGTTTCAACACCCTTACAAAGAATGTTTCGTTCTCCTCCCCAACCGAAGTGGGATCTCGCACAAACTCACCTAAAAACTCTTTAAAAACCAACAATTTCAAAGCAACCAACAGGATGATTTCACCAAAAGGATAAACCCCCAAGAAATAAACATGCTCCCCACTGATTTTATGAAATTTCTTAAAAGAATAACAATAAACTCAGATGATAGAAATACAGATAACAGGAAACGCTTACCAGAGATCCAGCTTGAGCCTCGAGCTCCTTAAAACTCCTGTAAAATCCAAAAACATCCCCTTTCCGTACGACGTAATAGGCATCTTTATCTCCCTCCATCTTCAATAAATGAAACCCAACATTCAAATGCCACAAACAAACGAGTCAATGATCAATACCCAGAATACAAATAAGTGAAACAGAGCACTCAGAATCATATTGGGCTATCTAGCTTCATGATCGTGGCCTAGAGCTAGAAAATGATAGAACCCTGAGGAACAGTAGAACATAAATAAAGGCAATGAAGAAAATTGTTTACTCTGAAGAAATGGAAGGAGTGGCAATGGCGGAGAAATTGTGCAGAGAAGCAGAGAGTTGGTGAAGGAGTGATGCTGTCACGAGCGATCAGTAAAGTTGTCGTAGTGTAGCGAGACAGAGCAACCCGCGTTCGGAAAATGTGTGAAAAGTTCCGAAAAGTTTATGTGGAAGGTAGAATGTTAGATTACTTGTTTGCCCTCCAAGTTAATTACAAATTTAGCCCTAAAATTTTGTTTTCTTCGGTAACATGGTCACGTTACCTACTTCTCACGTCTTATGAAAACTATACCACAAACTAACATGAGTTCTTCCAGCATGCCCTCGCTCTCGTGCATACCAGGAAAATTCTAAAGAATGTCACCCAACATAGAATTGCTTAATCGAGCCATTGAAAATGAAGGTACACCTTGTACCAACCGACAGTGATTTTCACTTATTTTAAGTCTTTCTTAGTCATACTATTCTCAGAATCGCTGCTATTCAGATGTTGTCTCGTTTTATTCATATACCCTAATTTACTTGGATGTCACATTCATACACACCGGGTACATCACTTTTATCACAAAATAAAATTTCAAAGTTTTCCAACCTTTTGTTAGCATCATCAGATAGTCGCTTAATAGTTTTTTCTTTGTCTCGGTTCTCTCCTGCTCACTCTTGCTTTGACTTTCGCTTTGTTATCTCTTTCTCGTTTTAGATCTAGATCTTCCCCTCTCGCTCTCGTTTGGGTCCATCTTTTCCTTTGATCGCTCGTTCTTCTTCGATAAATAGAGTAAATTGTGACGAAGAGGTAAAGATTCCACTAGTTGGGCAAAGAAAGGGAGAAAGTTGGGCATTAAATTTGTTATGGAAATAATGTTTGAAAGCGAAACTCCACGAATGATTGCATCAAAGTTTGAAGCTTGTAGTTATTGTTGGAATTGAAAGTGAACAAAACTTGTACGAAACAAACACGTCCTTGCCTTGTGTGTTCTTATTCCTCGATCCTATCTCCTTTCACATCTCATATTCTCCGGGATATTTGAGTGTGGAAACCTCTCTCTAGTAGACGCGTTTTAAGATTGCGAGGCTGACGGCGATATGTAACGGACTAAAACGGACAATATCTACTAGCGGTGGGCTTGAGCAGTTATAAATGGTATCAAAATCAAACATTGGGCGGCGTGCAAACAAGGACGTTGGCCTTTAAGGAGGAGGATTGTGAGATCCCATGTATGTTAGAGAGGGGAATGAAACATTTTTTATAAGCATGTGAAAATCTCTCCCTAATAGACGTGTTTTAAAACCGTGAGGTTGACGACGATACGTAACGGACCAAAGCAGACAATATCTGCTAGCGGTGGGCTTGAGTTGTTATAAATGGTATCAGAGCCAGACAGCGAGTGGTGTGCCAGCGAGGATGCAAGTCCCCCAAGAGGGAGTACGGTAGGGTGGGGTCGGGAATGAACTTTCTATTCTATTTCTCGTGGAAATTTGTCCCCTGTTTTGGGGAGCCGAGGAATCTCCGTTCAAGGATCGGAAAATTTTATAATTTTTATTCTTTATTTTTAAATAGAGAATTATTTTTTTTTATATATATATATATAATCTTATGTTAATGTTTGTATTAATATTGTTAGTATTCATTACAATTTAATATTAAAATTATTATATTATGAAATTATATACACAAACAGCATAACACACAACTTAAATTAGAAAAATGTCATTGATAATGTAATATAATATGTTACATTATTACTATAACTAATTATAATATATCTTATATTAAAAAAATAAATTATTCGAAGTGGAAAATCCCCATTTTAACCTCCTTAATTCGATCAAACTAAGGATTCCTACCTCATTTGGGGTTCGGGTTTTATAAAGAGTCGAGAAATATAAAATTAAAGTGTCGCATTTTCCCGGTTAAAGGTAAATTTAATACCTTGAATTAGTGTTTAAATATTATTAGGTGCTACGATATTAAAGTAACAGGGGGACACGAGTTTGAAGTTTCTCTAATTAATTTTCAATTTCTAATTATTTTGCTTAAACACGAGATAACTACTATATGTATCGATATATTCCATATTATATTAATAATTGAAATAGATCGTTAAAAAATCATTTTTGTTTAAGTGGAAAATTTTGAATTTCAAATAATTATTATTGAATAATGTTTATGAAATTAAATTCATAATAATTAATATTTAATTGAACCATATTAAAATAACTTAGTAATTGAATTAAAAAAAAAAACTTAATTATTGAAAATAATCATCTAGGTCTGACCATCTTACCAAATTTAGAGGGGCAAAATGGGAATTTCACAAATATTAATTAAAAAAAAAGGAGAAGAAACTAGGGCATATATACTATACACATAAATTGCGTATAGGTTACGACACATCGGTACTTGCAAACGACATGATTCCCATTGACCCACGCAGAAGGTTTTTTTTTTTTTTTTTTTTTTTTTTTTTTTTTTTTTTT